ATGCAGATGCAACTTTTCAATCTGCAACAGGAAGTCACAAAAGTCCAAGCCATTGGAGACGACTCCCAGGTGGGAGGGACTCAAACCCTGTGCTACGCTGATTTGCCTCCAGATAAGATGGAAATGCTGCAACCGGAGTTACTGATTGGCTCTGACCATCAGGAAACACACATGTCCCATATCGCTCCATCCACATTGATGACAAGTGCAACCTCCACGGATAGTGGCCCGGCACCCCCTGGCGTCGAGCCTGATAAACTACTGTTGGGACCTCTCCTGCTACAGGGTGGTAAGCCCACAGTATCTGTCATATTGCAACAGGGGCATCTCTGCAACGCACTTAGATACGGGTTCAGATTTTACAATCATGAGCAAGTCTCTTTGCGACTGCGTCTGCTTGGATGTAGGGGGAGGCGTACGTCCTCAAGAACTGATTCCCTGTGCATTAACTATCCATGTTTTCTCTGATTCTACAGTGCTCTTCTATAACTCTGCTCCAATTCACGATCGATCCCATGAGCTTGACACACCCTGTGTACATATGTGAGAGTGGAACCATGCCTTTGCTCATTGGCATCGATGTTTTGAAGTGCTTTGATGCTTTTATCGATATTGGAGAAGGGGAACTGAAGGCAGGTGTTAGAAAACCTCTGCTGTTCACTCCACCTTCTTTCCCCAACTCACGCTGCCTTGTTTTAGGTGATTCTGAGCATGGGGGAACTGCATGCTTACTGCCGAGCTCAAAGTCATCAGAGACTCCCTCTGATGTTTTCTCTCAGATTGAACAGGTCGTGGACCAAGCAGATGCTCTTACCAACGATGTTGAGCGAGACAAACTATGACAACTTTTGTTAAAATACAAAGATTTTCTTTCACTTGACTCCCTAGACTGTGGTCTAACCACTATCCATGAGGTCAGGATTCCTACACTGCCACATGCTGCGCCGACTTTTGTGCGTCCATACAAGATTCCCCTGGCATCCAACGGGCCAGCCCAGGAAATCATTGAAAGCCTCTTGGCTAAAGGGATCGTCCGACCATGCAACAGCACCTACTCAGCTCCATTGTGGCCATTAAAGAAGCCTAATGGTAAGTGGCGACTAACCATTGACTACAGGCAACTCAACAAACAGGTTCCGTCTTCTAGGTAGCCGATGGCGCACCTGGAACAAGAACTCCCAAAAGTGAAATACGCTAAATACTTCTCCACCCTTGACATTGCGTCTGGATTCTGGACAATTCCTGTCCATAAATCGGACCAACACAAACTAGCCTTCTCCTTTGCCAACTGCCAGTACACCTTAGCTCAGTGTCCTTTTGGTTATTCCACCTCTCCAGCTGAGTTCAACATCTTCTTGGACAAAGCCTGCCCTGATGCTCGAGAGTGAGGTACCCTCATCTATGTCGACGACAATCTTGTTCATAATCATACCTTGGATGATAGACATACTATAATATGTGTATTTTCAAACTATTTCAGGTAAGTCTAAACATTAAATTATAGTATGTGCATTTTAATGCTTTTTCTGGCCATTCTAAACGTTATACTATAGTATGTATATTTCAATACCATTTCAGGTCATTCTAAACATTATACTATAGTATGTGTATTTTAAAACTTTCAGGTCATTCTAAACATTCTACTATAGTATGTGTATTATAACACTATGCGAGGTCATTTTAAACATTATACTATAGTATGTGTATTTTAAAACCATTTCAGGTCATTCTGAACATTATACTATAGTATGTGTATTAGAATACTATGTGAGGTCTTTCTAAACATTATACTATCGCTTGTGTATTTTAAAACCATTTCAGGTCATTCTAAACATTATACTATAGTATGTGTATTTTAAAACTTTTTCTAGTCAATCTAAATGTTTTACTATAGTATGTGTATTTTAAAACTATTTGTGGTCATTCTAAACATTATATTATAGTATGTGTATTTAAATTCTTTTTGAAGTCATTCTAAACATACTGTAATTTACTGGGATAGGAGACGGAGTTGAGTTGCCATAGCAACGGCACATTCCACATATCTTCTGAGGGGGGAGTTTTTGTTGTAGCCTTGCAGACTCAAGGGCGCCAGATTCCGATTAGAAATTGTTTTGGGGCCAGACAGAGATGTTTTCGTCTCTGTCTTACAGTTTGTTGGTCCTCAACCTCTCAAAATCCCAATAATGGACATTAAACTATCCCAACCCGTGCTGATTTGTTCACTCTATCCTTCATGGCATCCATCTTCTGTGCCAATGAATGAATCTCGGCCAAAGTTCCAATGCTTATGATTCATCTCGACAATTATGTGAGTCTCTGAATTTACAGCGCGGTGCAAGCCATCTCTGAGTTCAGGAATCAAGCAGCTCGTTAATTTTCTGGGAAGACAGGAAGCCTCCAAGGCCGATCGGCAGGAAACCTAACACCAACACCACGAATATCCACACATCTTCAGAGTCCTCCACAGACAGCCGGTCTGTCCCGGAGGGGCATCCGACAGCCCCTTCTCATCGTTGAAAAAATTTCATCAACCGCGTTGAGTGACCAACTGACGAGATCCATTTAAGCGAATTTCAGTTTCCCGAAAAAATGCAGAAGCAGCCGTGCACCTAGCACACCCAGACAGACAAAGGCCTTGAGGATAAGACATGGAGGAGAGGAGAAGACAAGCGTCTGCACCCTCCAAGAGCCGGAAGAAGAGAATTTCAGGTAATTCTAAACATTATACTATAATATGTGTATTTTAATATTTATTCAGGTCAATCTAAACATTATACTATAGTATGTGTATTTTAATACTTTTACAAGTCATTCTAAACATCATACTATAGTATGTGTATTTAAATGCTATTTCAGGTAATTCTTAACAATATACTATAGCGTGTGTATTATAATACTATATGAGGTAATTCTGAACATTGTACTATAGTGTGTGTATTTTAATACTAAATCTGGTCATTCTAAACATTATACTATAGTATGTGTATTTTAATGCTATTTCAGGTAATTCAAAACAATATACTATAGTGTGTGTATTTAAATTTTTCTTCAGGTAATTTTAAATATCATACTATAGTATATGTAGGGGTTTCCTATTCAACTTCCATTCATTTTTCAACAAATTAAATGATCTGTTACTTCTATACAATGGCTTTAGAGCAAAAATAATCATTTGACTTCTCTCATTCTACAGATGAAAATTGAATTTCAACTTCAAATGCAAATGCTATTTTGCCAGTGGAAATATGGAACGCAGACCCCGCTATAAGCAGCTTGCTGAAATGAAAAACATGCAGATGCAACTTTTCAATCTGCAACAGGAAGTCACAAAAGTCCGAGCCATTGGAGATGACTCCAAGGTGGGAGGGACTCAAACCCTGTGCTACGCTTATTTGCCTCCAGATAAGATGAAACGCTGCAACCGGATGTACTGATTGGCTCTGAACTACAGGAAACACACATGTCCCATATCGCTCCATCCACATTGATGATAAGTGCAACCTCCACGGATAGTGGCCCGGCGCCCCCTGGCGTCGAGTCTGATAAACTACTGTTGGGACCTCTCCTGCTACAGGGTGGTAAGCCCACAGTATCTCATATTGCAACAGGGGCATCCCTGCAACGCACTTACGAGTTCAGATTTTACAATCATGAGCAAGTCTCTTTTCGACTGCGTCTGCTTGGATGTAGGGGAGGCGTACGTCCTGCAGAACTGATTCCCTGTGCATTAACTATTCCATGTTTTCTCTGATTCTACAGTGCTCTTCTAAGATTCTGCTTCAATTCTCGGTCGGTCCCATGAGCTTGACCCACCCCGTGTACAACTTTGAGAGTGGAACCATGCCTTTGCTCATTGGCATCGATGTTTTGAAGTGCTTTGATGCTTTTATCGATATTGGAGAAGGGGAACTGAAGGCAGGTGTTAGAAAATCTCTGCCGTTCACTCCACCTTCTTTCCCTGACTCATGCTGCCTTGCGGTAGGTTATTCTGGGCATGGGGGAACCGCATGCTCACTGCCGAGCTCAATGCATCCAGAGACTCCCTCTGATGTTTTCTCTCAGATTGAACAGGTCGTGGACCAAGCAGATGCTCTTATCAACGAAGTCGAGCGAGACAAACTATGACAAATTTTGTTAAAATACAAAGATTTTCTTTCACTTGACTCCCTAGACTGTGGTCTAACCACTATCCATGAGGTCAGGATTCCTACTCTGCCACATGCTGCGCCGACTTTTGTGCGTCCATACAAGATTCCCCTGGCATCCAACGGGCCAGCCCAGGAAATCATTGAAACCCTCTTGGCTAAAGAGATCATCCGACCGTGCAACAGCACCTACTCTGCTCCATTGTGGCCAGTAAAGAAGCCTAATAGTAAGTGGCGACTAACCATTGACTACAGGCAACACAACAAACAGGTTTCATCCTCTAGGTAGCCGATGGCGCACCTGGAACAAGAACTCCCAAAAGTGAAATATGCTAAATACTTCTCCACCCTTGACATTGCATCTGGATTCTGGGCAAATTCCTGTCCATAAATCGGACCAACACAAACTAGCCTTCTCCTTTGCCAACTGCCAGTACACCTTAACTCGGTGTCCTTTTGGTTATTCCAACTCTCCAGCTGAGTTCAACATCTTCTTGGACAAAGCCTGCCCTGATGCTCGAGAGTGAGGTACCCTCATCTATGTCGACGACAATCTTGTTCATAATCGTACCTTGGATGATAAACATACTATAATATGTGTATTTTAAAACTATTTCAGGTAAGTCTAAACATTATATTATAGTATGTGTATTTTAATGCTTTTTCTGGCCATTCTAAACGTTATACTATAGTATGTGTAGTTTAATACCATTTCAGGTCATTCTAAACATTATACTATAGTATGTGTATTTTAAAACTATTACAGGTCATTCTAAACATTATACTATAGTATGTGTATTATAGGACTATGTGAGGTCATTTTTAAACATTATACTATAGTATGTGTATATTAAAACCATTTCAGGCAATTCTGAACATTATACTATAGTATGTGTATTAGAACACTCTGTGAGGTCATTCTAAACATACTATCGTATGTGTATTTGTAAACCATTTCAGGTCATTCTAAACATTATACTATAGTATGTGTATTTTAAAACTTTCTGGTCATTCTAAACGTTTTACTATAGTATGTGTATTTTAAAACTATTTGTGGTCATTCTAAACATTATTCTATAGTATGTGTATTTAAATTCTTTTTGAAGTTATTCTAAACATACTGTAATATCCTGGGATAGGAGACAGAGTTGAGTTGCCATAGCGACGTTACATTCCACATATCTTCTGAGGGGGGAGTTTTTGTTGTAGCCTTGCAGACTCAAGGGCGCCAAGTTCCGATTAGAAATTGTTTTGGGGCCAGACAGAGATATTTTCGTCTCTGTCTTACACTTTGTTGGTCCTCAACCTCTCAAATTCCCAATAATGGACATTAAACTATCCCAATCCGTGCTGATTTGTTCACTCTATCCTTCATGGCATCCATCTTCTGTGCCAATGAATGAATCTCGGCCAAAGTTCCCAGCTTATGATTCATCTCGACAATTATGTGAGTCTCTGAATTTACAGCACGGTGCAAGCCATCTCTGAGTTCGGGAATCAGGCCATTATTCCTCTACAGCTCGTTAATTTTCCGGGAAGACAGGAAGCCTCCAAGGCCGATCGGTAGTAAACCCAACACCAACACCACGAATATCCACACATCTTCAGAGTCCTCCACATACAGCCGGTCTGTCCCGGAGGGGCATCCGACAGCCCCTTCTCCCGTTCTCATCGTTGAAATAAATTCATCAACCGCGTTGAGTGACCAACTGATGAGATCCATTTAAGTGAATTTCAGTTTCCAGAAAAAATGCAGAAGCAGCCGTGCACCCAGCACACCCAGACAGACAAAGGCCTTGAGGATAAGACATGGAGGAGAGAAGAAAAGCGTCTGCACCCTCCAAGAGCCAGAAGAAGAGAATTTCAGGTCATTCTAAACATTATACTATTGTATGAGTATTTTAATGCTATTTCAGGTAACCCTAAACAATATACTATAGTGTGTATTTTAATACGTTTTCAGGTCATTCTAAACATTATACTATAGTATGTGCATTTCAATACTATTTCAGGTCATTCTAAACATTACACTATAGTATGTGGTTTTTTAATGCTTTTTCGGGTAATTCTAAACAATATACTATACTGTGTGTATTTTAATGCTATGTGAGGTCATTCTGAACATTATATTATAGTATGTGTATTTTAATACTAAATCTGGTCATTCTAAACAATATACTATAGTGTGTGTGTTTTAATACTAAATCTGGTCATTCTAAACATTATACTATATTACGTGTATTTTAATGCTATTTCAGGTCATTTGAAACAATATACTATTATGTGTGTATTTTAATACTTTTTCAGGTCATTCTAAACATTATACTATAGTATGTGTAGGGGTTTCCTATTCAGCTTCCATTCATTTTTTAACAAATTAAAGGACCTGTTACTTCTATACAATGGCTTTAGAGCAAAATAATCATTTGACTTATCTCATTCTACAGATGAAAAATGAATTTCAACTTCAAGTGCAAGTGCTATTTTGCCAGTGGAAATATGAAACGCAGACCCAGCTATATGCAGCTTGCTGAAATGAAAAACATGCAGATGCAACTTTTCAATCTGCAACAGGAAGTCACAAAAGTCCAAGCCATTGGAGATGACTCCCAGGTGGGAGGGGCTCAAACCCTGTTCTCCGCTGATTTGCCAACAAATAACAATAAAAAAACAATAAAACTTGCACGTTTTACTGAATTCCATTAATTTGGATCCCTTTCAATGCAAGCAGAAGACATCTTGGTTTCAAGCCATCAGAAGAAGCGATTGGGATGAAGACATAATCAAAAATGCATCGATCTGCAGTGATCACTTCACATGAAGTAAGCACAACTTGATCTTAAAAGTATCGCTGGTTAACACAGTTCAGGGTCGGTTTAACACACTTAGGATACGGTTAACAAAGGATAGGGTTTTGGTTGCAACCAATGGCGTTAGCATTATACCAACGCCACAGCAGAGACTCTTCCCTTGTCTTTGACTAGGCAGCACCTCAGTCTTCAGAACCACTACATTTTCAGTGTTGTAATCATGTAATAGTCCTGAACATGATTGTCAAGCAGCTGTAGGCATCCAGTGTTGTGTAGGACTTCAGGCCTCTCAGGAGCAGAGACTCGGTGTGTCGATCAGGTAAGAGTGAATATGTGGCCATTTCAGTTTGGGCCATCTTGTCTCGCCGTTTCTCCACTCACCTGCATGTAATGCGTAGGGGTCTTTAAGTTGTTTCCCATTCACTAAAGTTAACTTTGCTGCATAATCCTTCTGGTCACTTTGTGACAAACTGCTGTAGTATGCTGAATCATCCAGCTAACAACATACGGCAACTACAACACAATGACCGCTGAAAACAACACTGTCTTAAAGGACCAGCGCACATCCGAAGTGTTTGTTAACAAATAAGGGGTCTACATACATGTATGTATATATATAAATTAGGGCCGGGAAAATTTGTGTGTTAGTTATCAATGTTCATTTTTTTATTTTAACGTGTTAAAAGTAAATGACGCAATTATTTTGACCATCTCTCCAACCCGGAGCCACCGTTCTCCCAAATTTCTCCATATTTCCCCCTGGACAATATTGCTAAACCATCATTTACTGAACCAGAAAAATGTGCGCAACTTTAAGTTGACTAAGGACCTGGCTTACGCACATTTTGGACATGGAGAGCACCTGCAGTGCTGCTGCGGAGAAGGATACAATTATGAAATCCTGCAGCATTATCACTTGTACCGCTTCGTTTTCACACGGAACAAGACCCCCTTCACGCACACACATGCACGTGTACACCCACGCGTGCACGCACACTCACACACACATGCGCGCACACTCCCTCACACACACACACACACGTGCGCGTACACACACAAACACAGCCTGTAGCGCAGAATATGGACAGGGGGACAGACTGCGACAGAATGTCATGCGTCTGTGACAGTGTGCATCCTGTCACTGTGACCCGATTGATGATACGCCCTGGCCACTTGTACAGGAGGGATCTCTGTTTGGCTGACTACTTATTGCGTGTGACTTTCACCCGGAAGTCTGGGGATCGAATCCCGATTGGACCATTTTTTTTATATCTGCCACAGATCTCTCTGTAGAATTCACAACATTGACGGCTTCAGCAACGCTGTGCCACCCTGTGGATTTTCTCTTATTTGTTTTGCAAAAGCACTTCCTTTCATTTCTGCACCTCGCCCACAAGTACCTCAATTTCTGCTTCTGTGAAATTGCGCTTACTTGATCTGCCTTGATCTACGGTTGCCATGTCATTGGCGGAGCGCTGCAACAGCCGGCTTATGTAAATGCATGAGATCCACAAGGCACTTTGCATTGACTATTTATGGCAGTAAGTGGACGTGGTGAGGGTGGGATGTTACTAAAATGCAGCTGAGAACATTTCTAGATAGTCTCTTATTGATGAAGCGGAGATTCTGTGCAGTTGTGCGTACTCCATGTTTGATAGATCACAAACCTGCTTGGCGTAAGTACATTTTTTTTGCTGAGCTTAAGTACAGTGTTAGTAAGGATTCTATGCAATGTTTGATAAATGAGACCCTTGAACCATCAGGATTGGGCAACAGCAGCAGGGAAAACCATTTTACACATTAAACCTCTATCTCACTAGCTACCACAGGGCAAAAATCTATAAGAACGACATAAACATTAACAACAGCTTCACAGTGAAGCAACGACGTGGGATTGTTTCACTGCTACATTTTAAGCCTCTTTAGTTAGCTGTTGGCTTGTGTTTGTGCTCTGTTACTGAACAAACTCTTCCCTCTGCACTCTCAGAGTGGAAGTTCAGTACGTGGAGGTGTCAAGAACGGTATGTGGGTAAATGTCACTGCGAGCCTTCTGTTCCAGATCTGACTAAGCGAACAGGGAAAAAACATCCGTCAGTGTATCCATCACTTTGTCAGGTGCAGACAGACAGACAGACAGACAGACATGGAGAAGAAGACAGGACTGTCGTTAAGTGGTTTGCCATCGTTTCAAGCTGACATGAGCAGCGTCCGTGTGAGAGCTTTGTTTTTCTTAATGTTAAATGAACCAAACGAGAACTCAGTTTCCACATAATTGGCTTCAGCCTCATTCCAAAGTGGTCTGAGTTCACTTTACAGTATCTCTTTCTTTTCTAGTGGGTGCATTGTGGACTCGGTCACCCACTGGCTGCTGCAGACATAGGGCATGCTTTCTGATTTTGGGTCTTTTGTCACACTCGAATCATGTGGGACAAACAGAGGGGATGGAAGGGTTCTGATGGTGTCTCTAAGTCAGGGCTGAGCTGAAACAAGAAACAAACGCTTCTTTTTTAAAAGAGAAATATTAAAAAAGTTATTTGATGCTGTCAGTTTGACCTAAAAAGCTCATTAATATGGTCTGAAATGGTCATTAATATATGAACAACCACACAGAACAGGTTCAACAGAGACCCTAGGCCGTCCATCCATCCATCTGTACATTGACTGATTCATTCACATGTTCATTCATCTATTTTCTACCACATATACAAGTTTGAGATGCAGACATCAGAAATCCAGACATAACTCTCCCAGCTCTTCTTGGTATTCCTAGGTGTTCCCAGCCCACAGAGGACTAAGTGTCAAGAAGAGTAATTAGATCTTCTCAGGATTGGAACAGCAGTAGCCTTCCTTCTCCAGAGCATGGATTTTTATATCAGGGGACACGACCCCAACGTGAGTCACTAAACACTGTTTGGGGTCTTGAGTTGATTTCCTGAAATCAAGTAAAATTTGAAAACTTGACCCTTTTCCAAGAAATGTATGTAAAACTCAACATATTTGCCAAACATAGACAGAAAATGTGCAGTAGAGGAAGCTGTTGTTCTTCATTTTGTTCTTTATTAAGATTGTTTTCGGGTTGCGTTCAACTAAAGAAAAACGAGAAAGAAAGAAAACGATCTTTTATATAACATCTCTTAAGATAAAAATCACGAGGCTATATGTGTGTGTATATATATATATATATATATATATTTAAAGAATGATTAAAACTATGTTTAAAATGAGAAGAAAACAATTGTGATTAAAACTGTGAGGAAAGGGAGAGAGACAATGGATAGGAAAGAGGGAAATCTGTGGATCGTGGGAAAGGCGGAAAAGGAGCAGAATAAGGAGAGGGTGATTATGAAGGTCACACAATGATCTGCCACCTTTGGTCTTTAGCCTGGTGCTGCACAACCAGTAGGCTTGGTCACTGGACCTCAGGGACCTGCTGGGGGTGTTGGGACTGAGAATATCACCAATGTAAGATGGTGCTTGTCCATGTATATCAGGGGTGTCAAACTTAAATTCATACTGTGCCGAGATGAAAATCTGCAACAAAGTCGGGGGCCAAACTTAATATCTTTTGAAAAAGTGACGGCAAATTTGCTCATTTTCTTTACCAACATTTGTGCAATTTTGAACCTTTTAATTTGGAAACAAACTTATTTTTGCATCAATCCTGAATGTGGAATAACCAAATTACACAAGAGCAAGTCAGTCTTAAATAAACGCATCAGTGGAATGCATTACTTGTGGTATGTTCAGTAGGGCTGCTCGATTATGGCAAAAATAATAATCACGATTATGGTGACTGAAATTGAGATCACGATTATTTAGGACGATTTTTCAATTTATGTTGATTTTATTTGTTTTTATTCAGTCATAAAACTGCTCAGGGCACAATCAGGACAAAAATAAGAAACAAGATGATCACTAAAAGAACTCCTGATTCCCAGGATAAAAGGACCAATATACTTATAGCTCATAGTCTATGACCCAAGGGCTATAGACCTTGGTTTAACTCATGTAAGTCTAACCAGTACAGACCCAAATACCAATATCTTGCAAATACTGACAGCAAGAATTATAGAGTGGCATTTATAACAAATAAATGCAAATAAACTGATGTTCACAAAATGTTACATAACATTTATTGAGTCGTGTCAAGGTGCTGTAGCACTGTGTCCTCAGAGAGATTAGTTATCAGCGTGAGGAACTTATTTCTACCTTATTTATAAACTATTTATTTACAGGCCCATCAGTTAATGTAATAATTGTCCCGACCACAGCTGCACCCCCCACCCCCCCACCCCGGTCTCACACAATCGGGCAAGCTGCACGTGTGTTTAGCACGCCGCACGCGCACATTTAGCTGTTTTTAGCTGCTCAGGAGACCGCAGGTGCGGTGTGTGTGTCACTCACTCTGGTTAATCCAACAAGGAGCCGGCTCCGAGAGCTGTCTTTAGCGACCGACACATCACTGCATCATTCCCTTTCCTAATGTTGTGAAGAACGGTCCGGAGCGCAGGCGGAGTGTTTAGCTAACCTGCAGGAAATGTCGACGACAGTTATCCAGAAAGTAGCTAAGGGTTACCAGAGATGTTTCTCAGATGTTCGCTAGGTACTTTTAGGATTAAAAAGTCAAGAAGGGGGTCTGAAAAGCTGCTAGAAATAGCGTCAAAGTCGCTAAATTGGCAACACTGTGAGGAGCGCTTCATTTGCAACTTAGGGCAGCGCAAGCGGGAGGAGCAAATAATCGGCTTGTTATGTTTTTTATAATCGTTCAAAACTCAGATCGTAATCGTGATTAAAATTCGATTAATTGAGCAGCCCTAATGTTCAGCATTTTTAAAATCTATTCGGGTTTTATGTTTTCTTGTTGTTTATTCATTTTTCTTAATTTTTATTCTCCCTATTTTCTCCTGTAATAAATGCCATCGCTGCTGTGACATCTAGCTCTCCCACTGAGGAACAATAAAGGGATTTTCTATTCTGTTCATCTATCTGCAGCCTTTCCACTTCCTATTTACTGTAGGTTAAATCTTTTCTCAGCGGCCAACGACAAAATAAATATATTATTTTATCTTAAATGAAATTTCAAAATCTCACCTGTTAACTTTCATGTTTTGGAGCAGAAAAAGAGCATAAAACCAAAATATTTAAAGCTCAGTTTGCTCCACTGATTTACTGTGATGCTCACCTGTTCCAGCCAGATACCTGCATCATGGGGCTGATCTTAGGTGAGGAGGAGACTCCTGTTGTTTTGTTCATCTTCGTCAAAATTATGACAACATTAGATGACAACAGGTGCTCACATAGGTTTGTGCTTCTGGACATATCTGAGCAGCTTGACCACGTTGTTGTGTGTCGGGGAGGAAAAACAAAAACTACAGCAGCCACAGAGTCAGGCTGATTTGAGCATGTCGCTGCTCGTTGGAGTTATATCAGCTCTGTCTGGAAGTTAGTTGGAAAACTTTCTCTTTCAGTCGTGAACACATTACTGATCAGTTAAAATCTCCGTTTCTGGGCTTCAACGTCGGCAAATAGCTGAGTAAGCTCGGCGCTGAGTGAGAGGAGTGTTGAGTTTGTCTGAGACAGCGGAGCTGCAGACACCGGTGTCGGTACAGGATCTGCTCGGATGCATGATCTGCTCGGGGTCCTTCGACTGCCGATGACGTCAAAGTAGTTGATTGGCTGAACATGAGGCTTACGAAAGTTACGTTATCACGTTATGATTTTGATTGGTCAGAACGAATTTGCGGTCGTAGTCTTAGCGGTTGTAGTTCTGTAGTCCAAAAATCAACACATTTTGGAGAAAATGTGTTTGAATTTCTAAAGGAAATGTAAAATATAAGCAAATGATAAACTGTGACCCTCAAAAGCTCTTGATGTTGATGAAACGGGGCAAAATAAAATATAAGAACTTTATTGAAAGACACCAAGTAATATTTTGAGTCAAAGAATGTATTTAGATAACAACTAAGGAAATATACAGACAAACTCCACATTAATACAAACAGATATGGCTTCACATATAAGTACTGTTCTATTTTTTGTCAGTTCGATGTTGGTTTTATGCAGTTTCACATTCTTTACAAAACAAAAATAATATGGTGTTTTATTAACAAATTACAATTATGAAGAAAACATTTAGGTGTTAACAAACAAGAACTTATTAACAAAACCACTGATGTCTTTCCAAAAGGTGTGTGAAAGCCGAGTATATTTGCAGTAATGTGACGTCATCGGCAATCGAAGGACCCCGAGCCGATCCTGCACCCGAGCAAATCCTGTACCGACACCGGCAGCAGACTCTGTAAAAAACACAAAGGAGAGGGCGCTTCGGCTCCATGCTAATGCCGCAAAGCATCATGGGAGTTGTAGTCTTTGTGGTAAAATCGGCCAGCGGGTCAGTTTTAATACGTTTTTGATATTTATCTCGCGGGCCACATAAAAATGCTCCGCTGGCCAGGCCTTGTGTCTGACACATGCGATGTAAGGCCCTAAAGACCAGAATCAGGATCTTGAAATCAACCCACAAGTTGACTGGCAGCCAGTGAAGCTGGAGAAGCAGGGTGATGTGGGTGTATTTGGAGGACTTGGTCACAAGCATTCTGAACCACCTGCAGTTAAAGAAAACTGGGATCACAACTCTGGTAACCTTGTTTGAGGGCCAGAGAAGATCTGGGAACATATTCTCTAGAAACTCTAGAGAATGACATTTGTGTCTAAATCAAAGTTACAACCCAGCAGATAGAATCCCGTTTAAATGGTTTAAAAGTGATAAAAGCTGTTTGGTTTAAATATTGGTTTGTCAGCTGTGGGGCCACAGAACAGTACCTTTTAGAGGTTGAGAAATGTCAGTGTTTTGCTCTCGGTAAATGTCAACAAAATCCATTTTAGGGGACATTTATTGTCTGGACTGCTTGAAGAGAAGCATCTCTTGAAAACAGTTTGTAGGGAAGCTTTCACTAGTCTCATGAGTTCTGGTTTCAAACTTGCAATGATTATGTTTTTTTTTTTTTTTAGTTTTTTACGAAGGACCGTGAAGAGCTTTGTCCACCAAAAATAACCCAGCTAGAGGATGTAAGGATTCTCTTACTTTTCGCCTCTTTGCCATCACTCCCAGCTAGAGGATGTAAGGATTCTCTTACTTTTCGCCTCTTTGCCATCACTGCCGTTTCAGAGATCAGGCTGTCTCCCGGGCAGCCAATGGCAAGACAAAACCCCGCAAACCAGAGAAATATATATATATATATATATATATATATATATATATATATATATATATATATATATATATACATACATATATACATATGTGTGTGTGTGTGTGTGTTCTGTTTCCTGTCAGCCTTGGTGGAAGCGGACTCCATCAGTGCTGTGGGCTTACAGACTGTTGGTTCAGGCCTGCAGGGAGGGAAGTGCTCAGGCTTACTTAATCACACCATAAATGCCTTTATTTATCTTCAGAACAGCACAATTAATTTCAGCAGCAGTGTCAGAACCTTTGGGGAAATCTGACCTGTTATTGCTTCTTACAGGCGTGCATGGTCTTTCTCTGGCACTCAGAAAGCAGACAGAACTCATTTAAAGGCAAACGCTCTGCTCGAAACTCACTGAATCTATTTGGTCACATTAGCACATTAGAAATGTTTGTTTCCATTGTAGAAAAGCTAAACAAAACATCATTAAAGTTCTTGGGACTTTCAAAAAACAAAACAAAACTGAATCAAATCTTTGATGATAAATCCCACAAAAGACCAAAGTCACCACTGTAGTAATACAAATAAATATGATCATTCTCTAAATTGTTTGGAAACACTTTTCAAGGTTCAAATTTGTCATTTGTGCAAGAACATGTAACATTTTCAGACAATTAGGAAGCAGTTTACAAAGATGTCCTAGTCAGAATCCTAATCTAGATTTATTTCAGTAAATAGACTAAAGTACGTAAGGAACAACGGCTGAATCTCTTTATTTTATTCTATTTGAATGTAAAGATTGTTTCCATCAGATGCCAGTTTTAATAGGACAGGTTTCATCTGTATTTAGCAAAAAGCATTTTTCAGTGGATTGTTTACACGCCGTGGACATGAGATCTTTTATCAAAAAGATAGCCAGAAGAGGAGATGTGGGTCCCCCTTCACATGACATCACCACTC